GGGCTGGCCGTGCCTGGTTTCCACATTCATGTGCCAAGCTTGAGGGTGTCCCTCTTGCCACCACCCAGGTGTCCAGGCAGCCAGGGCAGTGAGGCCGCGCTGGTCTTGGCCGAGAAGCAGCCGCAGGGCCTTAGCAGCCTTGAGCAGGGGCAGGTAAGGCCGCCTGACCTGGGCGTGGGCAGGTGGTGAACACAAAGTGGTCATGTGACCACAGCTGGAGAATTCCTGAATTCCCGAGCCCTCGCCACACCCCAGGCTGCCCACCTTCTCATCTCTGCCCTCGATGGCCTGTCTGGACTGGGGAGGTGGAGGGTAGGTATGAGGCAATTCCGAGGGCGGGAGAGGGGGGAACAGGAAGAGTCGGGGCAGAAAAATGCAAGACACACTATCTGTAGGCACAGCTCGACCCGGGAACCGTGAAGAGGGCTTAGAGGGTCCAGGTATCACATGGCAATGAGGGGGCCCACGGAACAGGCCTTGCCAAGGGCTGGCTGCAGTCTCCCACCTGAGAAGCAGCCTGGCTGGAGGGCCCGGGGCCGCTCCCACACCAGGAGTCCTGTGCTGCAGGTGGAGACAGCGGGGAGGGGGGTGCGGAGGCAGGGGTCATCACCCCTGGGGCCTGGGATGCCACCTCCCAGGGTCGGGGTGCAGGGTCCGAGCCTGGGCAAGGCCGCTCTGCTGAGGTGTGTGCTCTCAGAGACAGCGGGGTCCGAGGTCAGTGGGGACCATGTAACCAAAGGACGAATTTAGAGGTGGGTGCCATGCCCAGACCTAGAGGAAGAGCTGCACGGAGAGGACAGGGGTGCAGCCAGCCTAGGGTGACATGGGGACGAGCACCCCCCTCCCCTCCTGCTTCCTGCTGGAGCCTACTGTTGGCAAAGCCAAGGGGAGCCAGTGCACGGGGAGGAGAAGGCAGGGCATCAGGAGAGGTGAAGGGAGCCCCCCACCAGTGCCCGAGTGGGTTCATCGGCGGTTCCTTTTCCATGTGCGCCTTTGTGCCGGGTCGGGGTATGGCTGACTTCTCCTCCTCTGCCTGTTCAGAGGGAAACCCGATTCCCGGACAACAGTCGCCTGCTCTCCTGCCAGGAGAGGACACTGCTCCTGCGGCATCACCGGCACATCCTCTCGGTGCAGAGGGCCGTGGCCCGTCTGCAGCAGGAGCTCCTGGCCACGGCCCAGCTGCTGCAGGTGGGCACTCGCACCTGGGCTAGAGGCTCAGTTGTGGGCAGGAGATGCTTGTCACCAGGGCTTTGTGGGATGTGCAAGTCCCTTGTAAAAACATCCAGGGAGGACAGGAACTCTGCAGGGTACACATGGAGGGCAGGTGGGCGGCTGCTTACCAGGGGCCCCAAGGAGGTCTCCTGGGCAAGGCGGCCCTGGCCAGGCCCCAGAGGAGGAGACCAACCCCTGAGGTTGTGGGAGAGGACCTGAGGCCAGAAGAAGCACGTGGTCTGGAGCTCCTTGGAGAGGCCAGGCCCGTGGGGGACCCTGAGCAACAGGGCAGCCCTGGCCCAGCAGCCTGTCCCTGGCTGCTGTCTCATGCAGGAGGCTGCGGACG